GAAAGAGCAAGGACTTCATGACATTTTTATCACTACCCACAAAACACAAGGAGACGCCAATGGTTCTGCTTTCCTCTCTGGAGGGCAGGTCTGAGTGCGACTACCATTCAATAAATTAAAACTGCAGTTCTAGTACTCCAGGGGGGCCCAAAACATTGCTGGGCTGGAAACGCCCAGTTTGACCCTTTGCTTCCAAAGCAGTTCGCCTATGGAGGTGCCCACTTTCCCTGTCTCCTCCACCAGAATGAAGACCCCTGAAGGGTAAACTCCCAAAGACGAGCAGATGGGGCAGTTCTTGCTTTGATCATGTCCATTCCTGTAGTTCGGCAGGAATTCCCGGGGTGCAGGAGAAAAGTCCCGAGGCTCTGTCCCCACAGAGATCGCTCCCTCCTGGACCCAGCTCGGTCACCTCCTGCCTCCTGGCCCCAGACGCCCCACAGTAGGCCTCACGATCGGGATCTCGCCCCGGGTGGCCTGCCAGGCCTCTCTTTTGGAAGCTGGCGCCGCCAGGCCCGGAAAAGGAAAGTCGCCTTCCGGTCCCCGGGTGCCCCGCCGCCCAGGGCCGCCCCGCCTGGCCGCGGACCGGTGCCCGCCCCGGCGTCCCTAAGGAGCAGCCCGGCCGGCGCGACGCACCTGGCGCAGCTCTTCGCGACACACGGCACAGTATCGTTGTTCACACAGCACCCGCATCTTGGTAGAGCAGCGGTAGCACACCGGGTGGTCGCAGCGGCCCAGCGCCGTGGCCTCTAGGTCCCCACAGCACAGAACGCAGCTCCCACCGCCCCGCTCCGGCGCCGCGGCCGCCGACTCCAGGGCCGCGCGCCGACTATCGGTGCCCGCCGCCGTCGCCATGGTCTGGGATCCGGCCCCCTCCAGGCCGGCGCGGAGCAGCCTGGCGCCCGGCTGGCCCGCCCCTTCCGGGTTGACGTCAACGCCCCGCCCAGCAACGGCCCCGCCCGCGGGAGGAGCCGGCTAGAGTAGCGCTGTGGACGCCGGGCGCTCTATCCCCAGCTGACACCTCCGAGGCCTCGGGCTTCTCTCTCCTTGGACCCTCGTTTGGGGCAGCCTTCCCCTCGTGGAGAGCTAACCAAGGGCTCCAACCACGAAAGTTGCCAGTCTCAAAAAGGTCGACAGAGACCACAACCTAGACAGGAATCGGGAGGGCCTGTAGGAGGCGCTCTCACACCCTGTCAGGAAAGTCCTACAGGAAGTTTTCTAGGGTTACAACAGAGCTCCATGGTTGGATCAGCCCCCTCCCCTTAACTTCCTATGCTTCTCTATAAAGTACTTCCTCCATCTTTGTCCTGGCAGGTTTGCGCACGGTTCACCACGTGTGTGGTGAAGACTGCATTTCTACTCCCCGCCCCCCCCAATAAATCCTCTTTGGTGAGGCGATACCTAGTCTACTTTTGTTTATGGACAAAATTTGGGGTCCTCTGGAATCCAGAGAAGAAACCCTTATAGCTCCCAGCTGGGGAGCAAACAGGTGCTGGTGCCCACAGACCTGTTTTGAGCTCACTGTCTTCTCTCCAGTTCGGGAGCTGGAAAGGGTAAGTCTTTTGGAACTGAGCTTCCGCCACTTGTTCTGAAGCTCTCCAGGCTTTGAGAACTGTTTCAAGTTTTTTTGTTTTGTTTTATTACCAAGCCTTGTTTGTGAGCTAGTTCCACACTCTGGCCAGACTACCTAGGGCAGCAGTCCCCAACCTTTTTGGCCCCAGGGAGTGGTGCTCCTATGAGAGTCTAATGCCCAATTTGCTGAGGCAGTGATGCTAGCGCTGGGGAGCAGTTGCAAACACAGATGAAGCTGCAGCCGGTTTTCTAACAGGCCGTGGACTGGTACCCATCGGCTTCCCAGGGGTTAGGGACTCCTGTCCTCAGGAGATTAGGCTGCTTCCCGTGGGGCTGCACTAGTTTTTCAGCCTGGTTTGAAGTTCTGCCTCAGCCTTTATTGTGTGTCTTCCTGGAGCACATTGTCTCGACTAAACTTTTTTAACATGCAGGTTGTTTTAGGCTGTTTGAGGTCCTTGATCTAGAGAAAGCCTCTGAAAATGGGAACTCAGTTATCTTTAGAATGTCTCTCTTAAAGGCACTCCCGCTGAAATTATGTTTAAAGGCCGTGGTCACTCGTCCTGTGCATATTTAAGTAAATGGACTTATCTGACCAAAAGTAATTTAGAATATCAATGGCTGCTGTTACAGGGAACCTTTGAGATTTCCCAAACTTTTTTTCTTAAGACCAAATTAGACAATCCTAGTGCTAAAATTGGCAAAGATGAACGGAATCCCTATTTTGAATATTATTTGAGGCTTACCAAGAATCTTAAGTTCCTTCATTGCGCAGTAGAATTTTAGAATTAACTGAAGCCACTGAATTTTTAAAGAGACAGATGGCTTCAAGAGCCTCGTGTTCCTCCCTTCCAGCATTGTCTTGCCTTTTCCCCTCCATTCCTTTGCCTCAGGCTCCTGCTCCAGAGCCCTTTGGTTCTTCTCCAAATTCTCCTTTGACACTGTCTGGCCTTGCACTACCAGCTTCTTGCCTGCAGCTCCACCTCTGGTGACTTTCTCTGAACTTAAAGTGCAGCCCTCTGAGGATCCTTATAGACCTCCAGCTTCACATGTTCTTTGGGCTAAAGCTTAATTATGAGCCATAGTTATAGAATTTACTAAGGTAACTGAAGAAACCTATCAGCCTGGGTTTTCCGATTTATATAAGCTAGTTTATTTGCCAGTCAGTGAAGACCAAGCTCTGCATTGGATGAGACTGGCTGGATAGGAACATCCTGAAAGAGATTTAAAAACAAACAAACAAACTCCAATTTTGGCAAAATGCTAGAAAACTCGCTATAGACCTCCACTGAGCAATTCTAGTAGGCTTTCTAAAGCCTATAGATTGGAACAAAATTCAGGCCTGCTCACAAAAGCATAATGATTCTGTTCATGACTATTATAATCTATTTCAGATCATCTTTCAACAAAATTCCGGCCTTCCTTCAGATATTGATTCCACTCAGGTAGCTTTTAACTGTTAATGGGCTGAACAGAGACCTTTCCCTTTTAATTAAAAGGACCAGGATGGAATGGGAAACCAAGTCCACTCTAGATTTGGTCAGTTTGGCAAGTAAACTGGCTCGCATCTTAAATGAGTCACCTAGAAGTAAAACTGCTAAGAATTTTGATTTTCAGCTCCAGCAGGTGAAGGCCCCTATACAAAAGCAAAGGCCTCCTGGCTTCTAATGTTATTATAAAGAGCCAGGACATTGTAAAAGATTTCAGCGCTTCAAGCACCTTCAGCCTTGTAATCAGCCTTCCCAAGGTTCCCCTAATCCCCAATGACTTGGATCCAAGAACTATAGGGGTTTTTCTCCAGATTGGAAATGAATCTCTGTCCTGAGCTCAACCCCACTACTGTAAAGCAGCCCTGCCTGGGAGTAATAAAACAGTTCTAATTGTTGGATCTTAAGTAAACCTCAACAGGTTTCTGAACCTATCCCTTTTGTTTAGGCCTTTTAAGAGAGACATACCTTTTAGGTCCAGGAGGGCCCTATCCCCTACCCCTCATGTGAGGACTGGACCTTGCAACATCCAGGTTGGCAACAGCTACATGCCCACATCCTGTTTCACTGGACTAAGACTTTCCACTATACCTGCCAATTTACCTGCCCAGAAAACTCCCACTGAACATGCCCGCCTTAAATCCCCATATAAATTTCAAGTCTCTTCACATTCGGGGCTGACGACATCTTCGGCTCAGCCTTGCTGTTACTATGCCACAATAAACTTTACTTAATCCCTTTGGCCTTGTGCGTTCCTCCTTCAATGAACATAACATTTGGTGCCGAAACCAGGGAGGATTTGGTACAGGCTTAGTGGCCATTCCTCTGGGTCCCGAGGTTATTGATTTGCAACCCAGAAAGCAGTGGGCTGTGGCAGCTCGCCTGGGCTTACCTTGGATCCTACCTCTTCCTCGGGCACTGAGGGGTTTAGCCTTAACTTCCCAAATCCTCGAACCCAGCCAGGGAGGACGGCGAGTCAGGAGCTTCACCTTTTCATTGCTGACCTGCCAGTCCGCATCGGTCACTTAATTTTCTGGTGAATGGTTATCCACCTCTTCGCAGGTCTTCTGTCTCTCATTCTCTGGCAAAATGTAACACTAGGTCAGAAGACTGTTCGGCCTCCTGGCATGAGATCCTTCTGAACTAGGGACATCCAGCTCTGAAAGGACCCCTCTCCTCTACCAGACAGACTTTGTCTGGCCATCCACCCAAAGAGCTGTTCCCTCTATTGTGGTCTTCCATTCGCCCTTCTCTTTTTCCTTATCGTCCTCATCCTCTTCATCATGGGGAACACACCCTCAACCCCCTCCAAAACCATCTCTCTTGGCTGCCTTTTAAGGAACCTAAGCAACCTCAGCCTTGAGGGTGATATCAAACCCAGCGTCTCATCTTCTATTATAACACTGCTTGTCTACAATATAAATTGGATAATGGCTTTCAATAGCCTGAGAACAGGCACCTTTGACTTACGAGATCTTGACAACTTCTGTCACTGCAATGGAAAGTAGTCTGAAGTTCCCCATGTCCAGGCCTTCTCTTTGTAAATCTTGCTCTATTTATCACATTTTACTTCTTCACTCCAGACTATTTCCCTTAACTCTGAAACCAAGACTTCTTTCAATCCCACCGATCACAGGCTAACACCCCCTAGGCCCCCTACCCCCATATGTTCCTCTTTCAGCCAACTCCCCCCCAGAAGACACCCCTGTTCTTTCCTCTCAGATCCAGCCCAGATCCCTCAGAACCCTCCTTTCCCACACACACATTCTCAAACTCATCCTCAGGAACCTGCCGCTGTATTTTCTTTAAGGAAGTTTGCAGGAACTGAGGGTATAGTCCGTGTTCCTATCCTTTTCTCCATGGCCGACCTCTCAGATTGAGAAAAAGTTGGGATCTTTCTCCATCAACCCTACCACTTATATTAAGGAATTTGAATATCTAACTCAATCCTATGATCTTACCTGGCATGACCTCTACATTATCGTTTCTTCCACTCTTT